CCTCGGGTCTCTTCGCATCAGCTCAGGGCACTTGCATGCTGCTAAATTGAACCTTGAATTTCTATATTTCTGTTGCCCGTATTTTGAGGTCTTCCTTGAAAAATTTATGTCGTACCACGGGAGCAAACCTTGGTGGAGATCTGTACCCATCCAATTCTGACATGAGGCCACTGGTTGGCCAACACAATATGGAAAATATGCAATTTTTCTTCTTGACCAGGAGGATGGACCGAATCCTCAACCAATTGAAGTGATCAGTACCCTTATTTTTCAAGCAAGGACTGTCCGAGGTTAGAGTGAACCCCGGAAAAAAGCTGCCACCACCAAAAATCCGACCACCTCCAAAACATGATATGTTATAAATAATCCTACCACCTGTATACTTCAATACCAAGGCAGAAACTCATTGATTTTGACCAATTGCAGTGTAGATACAATAGGAGCTTTGATTGACTGACAGAAATTCTCCTGATTATAGCCAGTCAAGTTGGACTAACTCAAGCCAATTTTCAAGAATTGATAACATTCTGCACCCATGTATTTCGAGATGATACCAAGTCGGCTTTTTCCGGGGTTCACTGTACCTCCTCGATACTTGGCGCGGCGATTACGGTAAGCTAAATAAAGGTTAGCTGACCATATCAAAGCAGCACATTGTGTGTGAGGGGTGAAGAATTAGCATGGGATCCCCATCAGGATAGTGCGACACTATATTTATTAGAAACAATGTGATGCCCATGCATTCATCCAAGAAAATAATGGCAAACGCAGTTCGACTTCACAATTGGAAAATGCCTTCTTGAACGGCTCAATCACAATTGCCATGTAGAGCGAGGTATGCTCTCGATCGAACAAATCGCAATCGCGCTGAGTGTGCTGTTTTCGTACGCATGGAGGGGCTGAAACCTTTCTTATCTACAGTGGTCGGACGCATCGACCGACCTTTTATACAATTTGCATGTTTATGAATGAGTTTTTCATAAAAAATTGTAGTATTGCTCCGCGTATTCTTCTGAATACAATGGAATTGATTAAACTCCATCAAACAGAATACTCTTTATGAAATGGTCAATCAAAATCAAGAATGATAGTCAATTTGCATCCTAAATAGTTATAGTCTTCGACAATTGATGAAGTTCTCGCAAGAGTCTATTCGTTCGTAGTGCCGTAATAACCTTGACGGAGTTTATTTGTTTGCCATCTGATA